GTTCTGTATGAATAAATAAAATCTTAAAAAAAAAAAAAAAGTGTTGCCTGCTTTCAATGAGATAGGCATGTCCATAAAGAAAATAATAGGTGATCCAAGTTTTGACATTAAAAGTAATACATACAACATTCATAAGAAAATCTTGAGTGCAGGGGCCAAGAATTCTACAAATTTATGAGTCTGCAGAGTTGGGCATATAGTAGAAACCCAAGAAATACTTCAAAATAAACTACATTTCTATAGATAATTCTACATTCCCACTGCTTAGAAGCACAGCTTTAAATGGTGGTATAAGAAGAGCTTGATGCTGAAAGAACTATAGGAATGACTATGAACCTCCCATTCTACAAGTACTCTCCTACCAATGCATGGGTACCCACAAAGTCTACTGACAGAATTATCTATGGATAGAGGCTCTTGAATGGCATTCTTAGATCCAGTAACTGTGCTTCTTGACTCCTAACTCAATGGTTTGTACCTAATGAACAAAAAAAAAAGACATTGAAAAATGTATGCTCTTGTTGAAAGCAAAGAGATGGGGAAAGTAATATCTTATGAGTATATACAGAGGATCATCATCATTAGTTTAAAGAGTAGAGTGTTTTAAAAAAAAGTAATAATTTTTGGTTTAAAAAAATTGACAGATTTGCCAACCTACCTTGAGTCTTTAATGTCTAATCATTTTAAGTGGTAACAAAACCATTCTTTTAAAATTGTATGAACAGAATTTTATTGCTGTAGCTTAGCAATAGTTTCTAGTTCTATGAATATGTGGGGCCTCTGTGGTGGCAACAACGGGTGAAGGCACAGCACCCTGAACCACAGCTGCTTCAGCACCAGTTCCATCCCCAGCCAGGCAGCTGACCCACAAGGCACAGCAGACCTCTCCTGTCTCACCCACTGTTCCCCTCAGCAGTGTACACTTTGTCAATCTGCATGTTCTGCTCCCCACTCTCTCTGGTGAATCCTCTCACCACCCTTGCACCTGTGGCCTGTACCCAGTTCTTATATACATAAAAAAAAAAAAGAAAACATGAACTATAGTTCTGTACAAAGTAGAATTTTCTAGATGGTTATTAGATATATGTAAATTTTTATAATGAATTATAGTATTTAGGGGTATGTAAGATTGATAGCCACACCATTTAACTTCAGATTTTCCTGTCCATAAGCACACATTTCTATTTCTCTTAAGTAAATATATATAAAAGGGGAAAGTAGTATTGAGAAAAAAATGCATACTAGGAAATGGTGCTTTTAACCAAATTAGAAGTACTATTACTTAAGAAAGGATACAGGCAGGTATACTGTGAAACAATTTTTACTGAAATAATTTCATCTCTGAAATACAAGATTATGAAACTGATATTTTTAAAGTTCTATTATGTAATAAAACACTAAACTTTAAAATGTCACTTTTTTTTTTAAAGATTTATTTATTTGTGCATACAGAACTAGAGTACAGGCCAGAGGCTCAGGGGCGGTGAGAGGCTTCACCAGTGACAGAGTGGGGAACAGAACAGGCAGATCGATGAAGTACATTGCTGTGGGGAGCAGCGGGTGGGTCAGGAGAGGTCTGCCACGCCATGTGGTCACCTCTGGGGCAGGCGGGAATCGAACTCATGTGCAAGTGGCTTTAGATTCTCAGTGCTGTGTTTTAACCCGCTGCGCCACCAGGGAGGGCCCTAAAATGTCACTTTTAAAGTTTCCTTTTGATTTTCTGGTGGAACATTTAATGAGTTATTATAAAGAGATAAACAATGAATATCTATTTGAATTCAAAACTTCAGGTTTTTCAAAAAAAAAATCATATTTTAGACACTGGACAGTTTGACCATATTTCATTGGCCTTAGATTATTTTACAATTTTAACTATTTCCAAGAAGTTTATTTTTTTTGCCTGCCCACTTTTGAATGATAAGAAGAATCTGCTTATACATATGTCCTTTATATAATAATATAATAATAGCTTTAGAAAGTTATAGTGTTCATACTAGAAATTGTCAAAATCAACAATGATATCTGTTGAAGGAAAATGCTATCTTTCAGCAAGCAACTAAATACCATATTAACTACAAGACAGCTAATCAGGGGCATCAAATTATCAATAAACAATATTTACTGAATATTTTCTATGTATCATAAATTAAACTAATCACCAGGGAACTCAAAAACCTGGTGCATGGTAGGGATAATAATTTTAAAATGGTGACACAGAACCCTTCTTGTTTCTTAAGGTAGTGGATGACTCTGATAAGCAAACTGTCACCTTTATGAATCCCTTATGTTGGACTTACATTAAGTAAAGAATGTTCATTTTGCTTGGGTTGGAGTTAAAGAGGTGAGTCAAATTACAGATATTTTGAAATAAATATAAACTCATACCTTTCTCTCTTACCTCCCCAATGTATGTTTAATATTTGTGTAGTTGAATGTGGAACAAAGAAAGTATAAGCATGAATCTGTTTTATAAAGTTCACATAACAGTCTTATCCTAAATTTATATGGCATGGCTGTCGACATTTGAAGGTTACAGGGATTGAATACTGAAAAGATTGCCAGGTCTTTTCCATCCAGAAGCACAGGGGAAAAGTGTTCTTTGATGTATGCCTACTACTTGTGGTCTGTTACTATTTCTGACTCCCACTACTTCTGGGTTCATTACCTTTGTTCAGAAAGAGTAAACCAGGAGTTTAAATTACACTTTTGCTACACATTTTAAAGAAGTTTTCATTACAAAACTTACTTTAGGCCATTGTTCACTTTGGTATAATAAAAGTCATAATACTATTCAGAAGGTTCTCATCGTAGTCTTCTTAAATGGCACCAACTGTATTGATGTCACAATTTTGTAAGAACCACTTCAACAGCTCAACTATCTATGAATATATTTAGTCCCTCTCAGAGATCTTTAAAACAGCAAATCATAACCTTGAAAATTCTAAAAATGACACTGATCATAAATAAATCAACATCTCCTAAACAAGTTAGCTAAAACTGCATTTTCCTAAGTCACTATCCCCCTTAGTTATGTGTTGCCTTTAGCATAAAATGTTGTTTTTCTATATTAATCATTTTGTTTTTTCTATTCTCTCACTTTTCAATCCTTGTACGCTCTTTCGTTTTAAAAATAGTCCTAACACATTTTAAGTTTCCTTTATCACAAAAAAGCTATATAGTAAACTGTTAACAATTTTAATCTTTAAAAAATGGCTCCCCATGTTATACAGAGAATTTAAGTGGTCAAAATAAATTTGCAAGTGAAAATTCAAAATGGCAAAACACTTGGGTAAATACCTATGTGTGTGTGTGTGTGTGTGTGTGTGTACAGTAAGATACATATGCATATGTGTGTGTGTGTGTATTTCACAAATCTTCCTGTTTAGGGACCAAAGCAGTTTATTAACTGCTTCTATCATTGCCAACGTTATAACAATAGACAGAAAACTAGGTAGGTCATACTAAAAATACAACTGATTTCTGAAACCTTCTTCTTAAGGTATCGCATTACTTTGATTGGAGTCGTTCACGTTGGCGCTCGTTTACCCGAGGTGTCAAGTACTCCTCTCAGCTTCCTAGCCCCAGTTGTACTTTCGACAGAAAGACGAGTCTCTTTCCAAACAAGCCTGGCTCAGTCACAGCAAAGCAAAGAAAACAAACCGTGCACCTGGCAACTTCCAGTCCCTGGAGGCCGGAGTCAGTGCAACTCTCCGACTCTGTAGTGCGCGCACGAACTCTTCGCTTAGGTTTTTCAAACGTTTCACCTTTGGAAGAACTGACATCCTACAAAACACTTCCGCCCTCGCCGGGGGTTAACCCGAATGCAGAAAGCGTCCTGCGACCCCATCGGAAGTTGCTCCGGGACGACAGTTTCAGCCCCGGCAAAGCCCCGCAAAGCGAAGGGCCTCCACCCGCCCCGGGAGAGATGCGCCTACCGGGAGTCGGGCCCCCAACACCGGCTGAGTGGAGAGCCGCCCGCACACAGGTAATAGCGGGGCAGCCTTCTCGCACCCCTCGCCCCCCCCCCGCCAAGCCCTTCCCCCCAACCCTTGTCCCAAAACCTCTTCTCGCTTCTCACCCTAAGTTCTCCCATCGTCACCCCACGGCCCCAAATCCTTCTCACCCACACCCCCAACTACTTCATCTCACATTCCCAAATCCTTCCGTGGCCCCACCTCGTGGCCCCAAATTTCCTTCCAGTCCAGCGCCCCCAAATCCACTCCTTCTCTACACACCCCTAAACCCTCTCCCACCTCACAGTCCCAAGTCATCCTCTTTCCCTCAGCTCGCACTTCAAGTCCCGGGACGCCCAAACCGAACCCTCCTCTTTCTCCCGGCTGCTCCGGATCAACGAACCCTTTACCCTCTTCATTTTCACTTGTTCTTTCCCTCCAGTTTCCTCCCCACGGCACACTCACGAGAAGAAGGGGTCGTCCTCGAAGCTGCTGTTCAGCATCCCGAACATCGCGACGGCAGTGGCGGCGGTGGCGGCAGCGGCGGCGGCGGCGGCGGCGACTGACGAGACACTTGAGCGCAGCAGCCACAAACCCTCGCTCAGCGCTGTCAGTCACGCCTGAGAGGGCGGGGAGCGACCCGAACTGAGCTCCCATTGGTCACATCCGAGAACGTCACCAAAAAGGGCGGGAATAATGCATGGCTACCATGGAGACCGTGACAAACACAGGAAAACCCTCTCCGGCCTCGGGAGTGAGGCGCAGCAAAATTTGACCGTCGTGGGTGGAATTCGGCCTGAACCCCAAAATTCCCAGGGTCGTCTCAAAGGCCAATGTATGAGCCACAAAACAATCCTATAGTCCAGCACTGGTAGTTGCAGAGTGTGCTCAAAGTACCGGGGAAACGTGCAAAAAACTGAGTGTAGTTAGAAGTGCAGTTGCTTGAAGCAGATCGGTGAGGTCTTTCAGATTTCGTCAAACTCATTTGCCTTTTGTGAATTTAAAACTCAGAGCTGTGTTTCCAGAAGTAGGAAGTGCTTAATTTATATGTAAACGCCGTGTTTTAAACTAAGAAAATTGCTCTCTTTTCTGTGCTTTTCCACGTTCATGTTACAGGGGAAATCTTCCTTTGATGCTGAAGTGTCTTAACACTTTCAGAATTCCCTAACCCAACATTAGGACGCACTAGCTCAACTCAGCAGCCCTCACCAACTAAAATTCTATTACTAGATATTTTTACATTATATTTGTAGGTGAGCCCTTCTGTTTATGGCAAGTGAAGCTGGTTTTAAAGTTGTGCTTGCTTTAATAGTCTAACTTTTTTTTCTGTTTAGTGAATGAATGGCTTATTTTTAAAAAGATTTATTTATGTATCCAGAACTGGTGTACAAACCAGATATGCAAGGGCAGTGAGAGAATTCACCAGCATCAGAGTGGGAAGCAGAACAGGCAGATCTACAAAAGACACTGCTGAGGGGAGCAGCAGGGGGCTGTCAGGAGAGGTCTGCTGCATCAAGTGGGTCACCTCCTGGGCTGGGGATCTAATTGGCACTGAAGTGGCTGCTGCTAGCTTGCAGTGCTAACCCACTGCACCACCAGGGAGGGCCAGTCTTTAACTTTTTAAAAACAGTATTTTATTTATTTATGCACACAGAACTGTGGTACAGGCTAGAGATATAGGGGCCATGAGAGAATTCACCAGAGACAGAGTGGCAAGCGGAACAGGCAGATCAGTGAAGTACACTGCAGAGGGGAGTAGCAGGTAGATCAGGAGAGTTCTGCCGCCCCATGTGAGTCAACTCCAGGATCACCTCCAGGGAAGGGAATCACACTCACACTGAAGTGGCCATGGCTGGCTTAGCAGTGCTGTGCTCCAACCTGCTGCGCCACCAGGGAGGGCCAATAGTCTTTACATATTTAAGTGAAGAAATGAGTTAATTTAAGGACTAGTGCAGGTGGGATTTTCACAGCAGGGAGAGATGTCCTGACAGTGGTGCTCACTGGGTTTTGGAAAACACTCCCCTTCAGAAACCTAGCAATAGGTAGAGTAGCCAACAGAAGACAAGACATTGAGGAAGAATGATAAGAGTGTGAATAGAAAGAAAATGCACCGGGCATGGGCAGCTTTCATTCAGTGGCTTGTCTGGACTCTCTAAAGGGCTGTCCATCTAAGGACAGAGGGCTATCCATGGCCCTTCAGGGCCTCCAGGGATAAGGTTGGAGAGCTGGCACCTTGCCAATGTGAAGAAGTTGCAAGCCTGATTTGGAGGTGGCAGGAGTACTCAGGAGTTATTTTGGGAGCTGGAAATTCAATCCTTTGGAACTTTTACCTCTCTATACCTTTAGCCAAGTTCTCAGACTGGTGGCTGAGATAAGGAAGGTTACAACCCAAGCTAAGATCACATAATTTTTCCAGGGAAGATTTGTTCTTCTCCAACTTCAGTATGAAACTATGAGAGCATACTTGTTAGTGAATTTCTAAATTCATGTCAAGTTAAAAAAAAAAGGTTTTAGAAGAGCAGAAAATATTTTCTCTTTAAAATAGTGTAAACACAGGATGTTAAGAGGACCACACTGAAGAAAAAAAAAAACCAACCTTTTTTAAAAAATGAAATGGGGTAAATTGTTGGTGATAAATTAGAGTATTTAAATAGTTCTGGATTAAGTCAAATCAAGCAACTTTTGAGAAAATTTCCCTTCTCGCACCTAGAGGAATTTTTCCTGGAGTTATGTTAAACCTATAAGTTTTCGTCCACCAGGTATCAATTAATCCAGGAGTTACCTGGATCTTCTAAAATTGGTTTGCATCTAGAAGAATACGCTTAAAAAGAAAACAAAAGTGGAGGAATGGGAAGAGCTTAAGTTAAAGAGACCTCTCGTAAGGTTCAGCTTTGGCAGATAAGAGGCAAGGAGATAAAAGAAGGGGTACATGAGGAAAGGAGGACTATCTCAACCTTGTAAGGTGTGGAGTAGGACTAAGGGGCTCTGGGCTATAAATAGAATCACAGTAGCTAACAGCAAGTGAATGCATGTCAGGCACTGTTGTAGTCCTTTCTTGTACTTTGGCTCATTGACTCTTCACCAGACATTTTAGGGAGTAGAGATGACTTATATTCTCATTTATAGATGATGCAACAAAGACACAGACAAGCTAAATAAACTGTCCAGTTTCACTCAGTAGTTGAACTGGGCCTGCAGTGTATCTTGGCAGGGGCTGGTTGCATGGAATGGGGGTGATGGGCCACAGTTAAAGATGCAGGGTGAAAGCAATTCATACTGAGAAAACAAATAATGGCTCCAAGATAAAAACTACAAAGTTCAGTGGGAATATATTTAAGTCAAATCAATTCAATTGTGAAAATGTTGAATTCCTTCTTTGTATCAGGCACCAGTCAAGCTACAGAGGCACTGGTAAAGCACACAAAATCCCTGACCTCCTGCAGTTTATATTGTTGTAAAGGAAGAATAAAAATGAGTGATATAGAAAGTTGTGTGTTAAAAGGTGGTAGATGTTAGTAAGAAAATCTGAGCAGGGTAAGGGGATAGAGGTAGGCAGTTATAAATAAAGGGTTCTGTGTAAACCTTATTCAGATGGGATTTGAGAATTCTAGAAGAAGTGGATATCTGTCAGAAGCATATTGTAGGCCAATGCAAAAGCCCTGAGGTAGACATGCATAATGTAATATAAAGTATAGTCTATTTATGTGCTGAAACTTACTTTCAGAGAAATGAGATGAACCAAGTAAAGTAAAAATTATCTGTGAGGATATTAGTGTCATTTGTACTTCCTATAGTCCAGGCATTTCATCCAGTGCATTATATGCATTTTTTCTTTAATATACAAACTTGTGTACTAAAATGTTTATCATTATATTACATATGAAAAAATATAAAGTCAGAGAAATTGGTGATGGGCCGTTCAAGTTCAGAATCCTACTCCAAAGTTGATATTCTTTCCATCATCCCAGCTTGTTTCCCCTTTAAAAACTGAATTGATGGGCCCTCCCTGGTGGTGCAGCAGGTTAAAGCACAGCACTAAGAAGCTAAAGCCACTTCCACATGAGTTCAATCCCGGCCTGCCCCGGAGGTGATCCATACGGCACCGCAGACCTCTCCTGGCCCGCCAGCTGCTCCCCTCAGCAGTGTGCTTCATCCATCTGCCTGTTCTGTTCCCCACTGTCTCTGGTGAATCCTCTCACTGCTTCTGCACCTCTGGCCTGTACCGTAGTTCTGTGTGCAGAAATAAATAAATCTTAAAAAAAAAAACTAAATTGACATTTGCGAAACCCCTCTTTGTAGAAGACACTTTTGCACTTGTAATCTCTAGACAACTATGATTTATGTTTAATTTGGAAGGCCACAATGTTGAAAAAATACAGAGACCAAAACCTGCAATTACTATAAGCACCACGGATTAAAAATGTCACTGAATCCTCAACCTCCGTCCAGGAATTCATCAATATTTACTGAGGACTATTTCTGTCCCACATGCTCTTTTAGGGACTGAAGATACAAAACTTCTGCAACTATTGGTTCTTGCAGTCTAGTGTATAGATCTTTTACCTGTTAATTCCACAGCTACTCCTTTTGACAGCACTTGAGGATTTTCAAAATAGGTTTGAAAAGATTATCACAAGTGCGCAAGAAGAACTTGAACAGGCTCTTGAATACTAACTTCATTATTGCTCCCCATCATCGGGGAACTAGTCTAGATAAACGCTTTCACGGTAGTTAATTTCATTGTGTCTAGACTTTTGTCATCTTCTTCCTTTTGTCTTTTTAAAATTGTATGCAGAGGTGCTCTTGCAGTGAGAGTCCACAGCAAACTCAAAGGGGGCACAGTGGGACATTTAAACATTTTAAGGGACTTTCTTTTTCTTCTTCTCTTTTTTTAAAATATGTATTTATTTATTTACTTATTTATTTATACTTTAAAATATACCAAAGACCAAAGTAATCCGGTGGGACCAATGGGAGAGGAAACATTTTTATTTTCAACAAATACTACCCTGTATTCTTTTACTCTGTACATAACTTTAGCATTTTTAGGATAGTCTACGAAGCCATTTAAGGGAATTTCAAGGGACTGAGGATACAAAACATCTGAAATGGGTCAGACATTGTACAAACTACAAATTGGAGATAGCTCACAAATTTTAATGTTAGATTACACAAGGTTCCTTTAGATGATGTCTTATCTTTGAAGAGCTAGGTTTCTAAAAGTGGCAGTGACAAGAGTGCCTTGCAAAAAACACAGTATGGAACAGGAAACAGCGTGGAACAGAGTTCAGTCTGTTTCCAGGGCTTAAGTTTTGTTATGCTAGACTGGCAGACACACGTGGTTCAGAGTGCATAAGAATGATACAAATATTTTCTTTCAATGCATGCACACTTTTTTAAAAGGCTCTGAGTTTTAGAGATATAAATAAGTTGTCTGAATCTTACTACACAATAAACACAATGATTTGGCATTTCTTTAGACCTAGGAGATGCAGAGAAAATATTAGTGGGGCACTAAGAACTCATGCATGGGATAGTTTGGGGACCT